GTGGTCAAGAGAATGTTCTTTATTTCATATGTTAGTATTATCCCTAGAGACTATAAATCACCTGGGTATTCCCTTTCCTAAATTTCTGGATATAGGAGTATTGTACTTTCACTTAAATCCATTTGTAACAAATCTATTTACAGGGTCTTTTCCTCTGAGTCTCTTGGTTTGTGAGGATATAGTCTACATGTTTCACCATCTTAGTCCAAAGTTATAATTTAGAAAGGGCACAATATTCTCATAAATCTGCTAGGCCAATTATGACAGACACATCAGTGTTCTATTTCAGGCTTGAGAACATAAAACATGGAACATAAATATACTTTGCAGCTATTAGGAATATCTGTAGCAATAGTTGATCACTGTGACAACATCTTCAAGCTTAAATTGACTAAGCTTGTTCAGAGCCATAAATAACAGAGCTGCATTTGTATGGCCAGGCTGCTCTCAGGACCCTTAATAGAGGGTGCTCTACTGGAACCTCATCACTACTGGGGATCTCCAGTTGTCTGAGACAGATTCTAAAGAAACAAAGGAAAGGACTAACCCAAATATTTTAAGTATGGATGAATGCTCCAATCATAGATACTCTGAAGCAGTGCTATACCAATTCAAAAAAGCACTCAGGCAGGAAAGTGGGCAGAAGTCAGACATGATGAAACCCATATATGAAACTCATTATCCTATGATGTGTTTAAATGCTTAGCTAAATCATGATACTTTTTCTGGTTTTTGACTCAATGTTGTCAATATGAGTATATACTATGATGGAAGAACAACCCTCCTGAGAAGGGTAAAATAGAACAGTTTGAAAGAGACAGGTAATCATTACACCCCGAATCACTTAATTTTGCAAAGTGCAGACTACCTAAAAGACTAAACTCATTTTTCAGCATCTATTTTTGAAAGTGATTTTAAGATACCACATCAACGGCATTTTAAACACAATTACTAATTTTTCATTTATTTTGTAAAAGTCAAAGCAGTGAGAGAAAGTTCACACTGAGGTCTGTTGTCATTGGGATGCCTAACAGCAGTTGGGTCTCTTGGCTGGTCAGACAGCTGCCAGGACAGCTCTCGTCACCTTCAGCACTGGGATGATGATTTGGATATAAAAGGATTATGACTGTCACAGGCCATCAAGGCAACATAACACAAGGTGAACTTGCAGGTAGCTAGAATCCATTATATCATGAATTTTTAAAAGTTTAGGCAAGCCTTGAAACTTTGCCATGTGTTCAGTGCGTCACTAATGCACTCTTGGTGTTGTAATAGCAGGTGTTGACCTGCCTTTAAGGCTTTTTCTTTGTAGGACATAACAGAGGACTCCCTGTAAGATAATTTTGATAATACCCTATGACCACAGCACAAGAGGAAGAGCACTAAGCATACACAAGTGAGCATCAAAATCTCTATCATAGTTTTAGCTGGGGTAACTATGTTAGATGACCAAAATATATTGGCTGTGCAAGGCAGACATGAGCAAGCTGGTCTAGTGGAAGATGTCCCTGCCCATAGCAAGGGGATGGACTAGATAATCTTTAAAGGCCTCATCCAACACAAACCATTCTGTGGTTCTGTGGAAGTTAACTGCAGCTTCTGATAGTTTTAGGTGAATAGCCAGTTCAAGACAGTTCTGCCAAAAGGAATACACAATACTCCAAAAACACTCTACAGCAAGCAGTGTCTCCAGCAAACAGCTGAGCACAGAGCAGGGAAGCACAGAGTGCTGGAGCTGAGTTACTCCTGAAAGGAGCTGTCTCTGCAAGCTCACCAGAGCAGCACAAGACCCCAGCCCAGCCTGGCAGGAGCCTTGCCTCTCACTGGGGTTGGTGGTTTGGGTAGTGTGTTACACATGACTGAATTTTAGCTTGGAAGTTAATATCTCCACTCAGCCCTTTACTGCCATGCACAGACACAGTGTGGGCTGACACACACTTACACACCTCTACCTGCTCTGCTGACCAGGGTAAAGATTCCATATGAATGATGTTTAGCAGAAACATGGATCCAACAGGGTTCCAAGAGAGATGCATCTCTAAGGCACCAGAGATAGGCTGAGTCACAGCACAGAATACCTAACCAAATCATGAAAGGAAAGCTTTTATACATGAGAGATCTTAATTTAATCAGGAACTCAGAGAGTTCACCGCTTTGCAGAAACTGCCCACCCATGTGTATTTCCTGCCAAATGCTATAAAAAGCCTGTGAAAGTTTTAAAAAAGGTTGGATTTCAGATTGAAGGCTTTAGTCTGAAGGGCAGCTAAGGAATGGAGTTATGTTTCAGTGAAGAAGTCATGAAGTTTAGAAAAAATAAGTGAATAAACTGATACAAAAGTTGGCTGGACTCTGGAGTGTGGCTCAGATTTCTATCCAGTAATGTATTCTTCTCTATTTATGATTTAATATTTATCAGTCTAAGGATTTTTAGATACAGAAAACCTGCTAAAAGATACCACCTGACATGCATTCAGAAGCTGATATGTTACTAGATACTAACACTCACCTAATTTTTTGTCCTTGGAGAGGGAGCTTCAGAAACTAATCCATTCTTTATAGGTCTTCTAGAGAAAAAACTTTTTTTTTGTAAAGGTTCTTCCAATTGTACAAAATACGTAAGGAAAGATTTACAAATAGTAACAACATACAATTCCTTCAAACAGAACAAAACATTTGCTATGCCCATTGGTGTATCAGTTGCACAGATTTTAAAGGATTAAGACTCAGAGAAAACCAGACGACCAAGAAGAGATAAAATATTTGTTGTTTATTTTGCTCTTCTCATAATTGATTCTAATGTGAGTAGAATCAACTACAATAAAGACAATTGACTAATTTTTGGCTCTAAAGATTTTATTTATCAATAGCAGACTATGAAAGATGAATAAATATCCAGAATGAGAAAGCATTTGTGAAGCCTATAATTTTATATCTTCTCTTTAGTGCCAAAGAAATAAAGGACAGCATTCAAAAATCCAAGATGAGTTCAGTAGGAACTGACCCAACAGGAGGAATTCAATTTGTCAGAACAAATACAGATGTCTACATTTAAGCTGGCCACCCCAGACATACTTTGTTCTCAATGGTGAGAACTCAACACTTTTATTGTGCAACTGATCTTATTACACAGGGCATATCAGCAGTCAGCCAAATGAATCTCTCCAAGTATGTGACAGATGTCCAAGGTTAGATGAGATTAAACACGCCCTTTGTGTTTCTGTGATTCATAAGTCATCTAATAGATTCAATAGAAAGTTTCTTCCAAGCATTAGCTTTACTGAAGCTTGAGAGTAGAGTCAGCAGAATCATTATGTAATGATTTTGTAGACACACCATGACAATTCTGTCTGATAAAAATATTTGCCTGTAATATTTCATTAAATTTAAAGTTACCGTGAAGCAACTGCAAGAGCTTGACGGCTGCCAAGAGCCATGAGATTGCTGAATAGAATGGTATTTCTGGAGCAGTGCCCAGAGCTGAGACAAAATTTGACTCATCTTCATGCATACATTTCCAATAAATCATCAAACTAAAATAAGGATTTAACTCCATCATGAGGTTCCAGCGATATCGTGTTAGAGCTAAGAATTGATTACAGTATCAAGAGAAGCTTCTAAGAAACTCTAAAAGAATGGTGATCTTTCCATAGATATATTCAGTGGAATGTTTGTGGTCTGGAGTTTTGTTCTCCCAGAATGCACATGTCTCAAGCACTGATTCAGTTGTTGGTAGCAGAATAAATATAATGTGAGTTCCATTTTGTTTCTTTGTACAAATTCAGAGCATATTAACAAATATATCCCAACCCTGGATGTGTTCAAGGCCACGCTGGATGAGGCTTGGATGAACCTGGGATACAGGAAGGTGTCCCTGCCCATGGAAGGGGAACTGGAACCTGATGATCTTTAAGGTCCCTTCCAACCCAAACCATTCCAGGATTCTAAGACTCTGTGAACTACGGAAGTGTGTAGGAAATACCATGTTTGGAAGACTATGCCTGCAAAAATTTAGAAACTGTAGGATGAGAATTGAGCTCAATCAATCATAGGTATTTTTGCTGTCATTTTCAGCTAACAATATTCCAACTAAAATGGAGATGAAAAGATAAAAGAGAGGGGGAGAAAAAGAAAATAAGCAAATTACATAATATTTACATGAATTTCAGTCTATTCAAACAGATTTATGCCACAGCATTTTATTCAATGTTTTTCCGACCTATCTGTTGAAACAGGTTTCTTGACATCTATCCTGGCACTTATTGAATGCTCATGCACTTTTGAGTACAACAGAGTCCCAGTCTCTAATGAGGTTTTTAGGCATCACCATGCTATAAACAACAATATAAAATACCTTCAACAGCTAAATTACTAATATTCTTTTTTTGATAGTTCATATTTTAATTGGCATACTGAAGAGATCAGTAAATAATTATATAGATATGGAGATTTTTAAATTTGCTTTTAAAAAAATTATTGGGGTAGCAATTTTTCCAAATTATTCCAGAATATGGAAGCACTAAACCCTATTAGTTGAAAAGAAATCCCATAAGCTCTTGTCTCTGTTTCTTAAATAGATGTAATTTGATTCCAATACTTCTATTGGACATCTAAGTAAATTTCAAAAATGCTTTTACTTTTACTGAGAAAAGCTGTTCTGTTTTTTCAGATGGACAACCTCTCTAAGTGCTGCTCTGGATTTTTTAAAAGAATTGGTAAAAATAATAGAAAGAGGACATGATTAGCAGCCACTGTTCACAACATATCATTGCATCAGCTTTAGCCACAAGGCTTTTACTGGCCAGTTGGATTGCAGCATTTTGATATGTGGAGAAGAGAAGGCTCAGAAAGACAGAAGGGAATTCAGAGTGTTAAAATAGCATGAACAATAGATATTGTAACAAAATACTGTCTTTTGTTATCATTATGCAGTAATACAATAGCTTAGGTTATTCTTACTATTTTGTCTAATTACTATTGAAATATTCAACATTTAATCTTACCACTGAGAAGCCAGTGTAGAAAAGATATCAGTGATTTCAGGTTCTTGGAACAGTTTCAGAAGTTCTGGCTCAGATGATAAGTCAGCAAGGATCCTTAACTCAATATGAGAAAAGTCTAGAAAACAGTGTTAAAATGCATCTATTGCTCTAAAATAAAGGCATACCTGCATTTTAACCAGACTATCACAAATTAAAATGTAAGCCTGGAGTATTCAATCATTTCTTCATTCTCAAAAAAGGCAGATGCCTATAAGAAACTCATCCTGATGATGCTATATTCTAGCTATGGATCACAAAGTGTCTCAATCCCTCATTATCTTCGTGTGTCAATGAATCTTATTAACTGTTTCTACTCACAAGGCTAAAACATCATCCACTTCCAAAGCATAATAAGGAACACACATCATATAACAATATTAATTGTTACTAAGGGATTTGACAGCCTTGTAAAATATGTCATCCAGAGGAGAGGGGAAAAAGACATGACAAAACTGTGAATATTAATATGTATGAGAATAGTAATTCACTCTCTCTTACCTGCTGCTAAAAATGTACATCCTTTTTTTGAAACAAACAGTGTTCTTGGGGAAATAGTTATTATGTCCTCTTCTTTTCCTAGAGAGGAGATATACATTTTAATCCCAAACACCAGTTCAAAAATACTGTGCTGCAAACCATAGAAGGTTTTATACCAAATACACAGCTAACACCACAGAAATGGCAGTGTAAGCAAACTAGCAGAGCACCAACTGCCAGCATCACAATTATTTCACTATATCAGCCATGTATGACTTTATCTCCACCATCCTTGCAGTACTGCTCACTTCCTTTCTCAAATCCAAACCCTTTCCTAAACACAAGCTACCAAATATATATAATAACTAACATTAGTCACAGCTCACTTAATAAAGGATACATTCATAACGAAATATCTAGTCTACAAAGTAAAAATGTGTATTTTTGTATCTTTGAACATGCTGCAGCAATGTGTTAATAACCAAATTCTGAGTTACAGATGGTAGAGGAATATAATATTGAAAATATACAGCAGTCACAGGCATCCAAATTGTAATGACAGAAATCCCCAATAATATGATGAAACACTAACACAAGGTACTGGAAACTGAATGCATCCAGGGAATATCACTTGACATAGTGTAGGGAGGGATGGTGGTTTGAAATGCAACAGAATCTGGTCAGCATAAAAGTGAAGAAAATAGGAAAAAAATGTTTCTTGATATGGGAAAAAATTAAGAAATACATTTTTGAGAAGCATATAAGATGATTAACAAAATCTCCAGAAAGTTTCATGTGCTACAGTTATGCCCAGCACCTCAGGTTTATGCTGCCCCTGCTGACACAGTTCTTAATAACAACTTTTGAAAAATACTTATAAAAATGACTCATGTAGATAAAATAAAACTGCTGTCAAAATTTTACATTATCTTCCCTAACCTCCTGCTTAATGACCTGTATTATTTCCAACACAGGGAGTGAAAAGCTGTGAAAAGGCAAAGCTTGCCCTTAGCAGAGAAACATTGAGCAGCACTGCCCAGCTTTGGTTCATGCTTTTCTAGACTTCACTTTGATTCTCTCTGAATTATCTGCCTTAAATCATCTGCCTTAACACATCTGTTATGAAAAACAACACTTCTAACTATTGGTGTTTAGTTGTGAGTATGATTAAAATGGCCCAGCTTAAACATTGACTCAGGCAAAGCCTTATGAGCTGAACACACACAAAATCATCCCTAGGATATTTAAGGTATTTAAGATGCATAATTTCATTTGGAAAAAGTGAGGGAAACAAAAAAATCTAAAAGCTTATAACTATTTAAATCAGTGCTGAAACACCAAATATTTTTTTCAGGAACAACCAGAAAAAGTAATTGGTTTAAATGCTATGTATAACAAAGCATTGATCATCTGATATTTAAAGCTGGACCTATCAGCTTGCTTCAAGATATAATACCACACAGTAAAATAATTAGATAAAACTGCCTTTTCATCTTAATAAAAACACAGTTTACCTTTTATGTACTGTTTCTTTGTAATTGTAACTGGATGTTTAGAGATACCTTGAATGTTCTACAAACAGGAAGAATAAAAATGCTTAGTAAGTGCAAATTTATGAAAATATGTTCAGGAACAGTTTATTACCAGCATTAGTGATACTAGTGCCAACAAGTTTTTCCCATATAATAAGAGAGATTAATCACTTTGCCTTCCAAAGGAAGCTTCACACTCTGCATCTGTATACACTTTTGAATATTTACTCTTCCATGAAAATTGGAAGATTCTAAGAACAATTACTCACTTGTGGCCATTTTAAAGCCTAATCTCTGGATGCACCATAGAAGGTAATTAGTAATCCAATAAAAAATAATTTTCTTCTTGCTTTAACCTGTATCTTTTAGTTATATTGCCTGAGAAAAGAACACATGTGAATCTTGCCTGCAGGCTAAAGGAACTGAATGTTCTTCAGCCTCTTGGATTTTTTTCTAGTATCTATTCCCACTTTTTTGAAATGCATGATAAAATAAATAAGGAACCATTAACTGTCTACAGCACATCAGTCCAGATTAAAAACTAGAGATAATTTTATTAACCAACACACAGGTCTAGGATCAGCAGCAGATCTTTTTTTTTTTTTCAAGATCTGGGTTCATACACCTCCAGTAAAGCATCAAAGATACACACGAGAACTCCTTCCTGTTATTTTGAGTCATTATGCCTCTTTGTCTAGAAAAGCAACATATAACAAGAGAATATGTATCAAGCTCTGATTTTGTCATTCCATGTATTTAATTTGCAAGTGGATCAGGAATTAGATGAACATACTAATATTATGCAATACTGAAAGTTCAGAGAGTGGGAATAGTGCTATATAATTTCCAAATCAGAATGATCACGTTCTATGCAATTTTCAACTCAAAATTGTTATTTTAAACTTAAGAGGGATGTAATCAGACAGCAAAAGCTATTGAAATCTAAAGCAGAAGCAAAAAAACAAAACCTCCAAACCACAACAGTACCATTCCTAGTATTAGTACCACCCTTAAAGATCTACAATTAAATGTCTTCAAGTTGAACACCTGCCCCAGCACCCTACAGAGAGAGATAGGAAACTACCACACAAAATACAGAATATTTTCACAGAATGGGTAAAAACTAGCAACACTGCTCTTGGTCCATCAATACCCAGAAGAAACACTTGCCAACTGCAGTATCTTATTCTTTAGCTTTTGAAACAGTTAAAACCACAGTTGTGGCAATGCTGATGGTAATGCATATTTTAAAATGATTTTTTGAAGCAAGTGGTTGTTTAATCTGTACACAAAACTAGCACTCCCGTTAGCAACTACTGATTTCCACTAACAACAAGCTGGGGAGAACTAGTGCTCATTCATATGGATAATATGCAGTCCAAGTGGCCATGGAATCTAGTAGATGCTCAGAAATTCAGAACATTTACTCCTTTATTATGTACCTGGACATGAATGAACGCGGGAACTTAATTTTAAACATTAAAAATACATTTTAATTCTGACTTATAGAAACATTCTAACAAAGGATGGAGAGGGGCTTTTCATTTGGCTCTACACTGGTATTGTGGCATGCACTGAGTCAGGTAATTTCCAGCACAGGTTAAAATTGTTTATAGTTACTCTCACTGACATTTTTCCTTGTTTCATTAACTTCAAAATACTGAACAAAGTGAATTTTAAAAAGTATTTTAAAATCTATCAACAATGTAAATATCAATCAGTACGTTGCTATCTTGTTTACATTGAGAGCATATGAACAAAGTCTACTTTCAACTCAATTTTAAAAGTGTTATTAATAATTCTGGAAAGCACCAGTAAGTAATTGCAAGTGCAAAATGTCTTTTCACTTGTAAATCAGTTAACACCTCATCATTTGACTAGATCTTCAGAAAAGAGGTAACTCAAGAAACATGAGAGTTTTAATGTTCATCTTTAAGGTATTGAAATAGTTTAGCACATCCCTCTCATCTAATTTTAGATTAATTAATTTTAGGCAACTTGCTGGTTTAAACAAGCTGTATAGAATCTCTACAGCCAGTAAAAACAGGAATCTACAGTGGATTATCCAGTGATGTATCCTGAGATTTAGATCAAATTTTATGAGATTAATTTGCTCCAAATATTTAAAGGAATAGAGAAATAAGGACACAATCTCATCAACAGTCTTCCAAATATCAAGTTTTTCTCTGCTTGAGTCAGGTGACTGTTTTACTGTCTCAAAAGTGGAAAATTAATGTGGCTCAGGCACATGATCGCCACAACTTTGGACTACTACATAATACAGCCTGTAGTTTTGCTCTTAGGTGTGCATTTCAAGTCTTTCTGAAAACACCTTCAGAGATCCAATCTGAGATGTGAATGTTACCCTTATTGTTAGAAAAGGGTATCCACATCTTGTTAGAAGTTACGGAAAAACAAAATTGCCCTCTCTGAAAAATCATGTTCCAACAGACAAGAAGGAATGCTTGAAAAGGTGTGGTGGAAAAGCTGGTGTGGAAGTTAACTATTATAATACTTCACTGTTTCTGAGTGAGGGTAAAAAAAAAAAGATTAAGCTATTCCAGTAGATATTTAACACAAAAATTCTAGCATTATTTTTTAAAAAAATTAAAAACATATAAAAACAACACTGTAAACCAAAATTATCTTCCAGCTGATAGAAGGATAGATGAAGCCAAAATCCCAGATTCAGTATGTCTGAAAGGCTGTGATGATCAGGGGAGCTTTCTGAAGAAAGCAGCTGTCACTCTTATCTTCCACAAGGACAAGAAGAAACATGCAGAAAACTACAGGCCAATGAGCTTCTCCTCAGTTCCCAGGAAGATGATGGCACAAATAAACCTAGAAAACATCTGCAAACATATTAAAGTCAAGTAGATGATGTGGGGTAGTCACCATGGATTTAGAATGGGGAAATCATGTTTAACCAAGGGCAGCCTTGTGCAATGCAGTAACCAGCTCTGTGGATGCAGGGAGAGCAGCAGATGTTGTTTACCTTGACTCCAGCAAGGCTTTCAAAACACTCACTCATAAAAGCCTCAGAGAAGCTGCTGAAGTACAAGGTAGATAAGTGGACAGTGAGGTGGACTGAAACCCAGCTGAACTGCAGGTCCAAAGGGCTTTGGTGAGTGGCACAAAGACCAGCTCATGGTCAGTCACTGCTGGAGCAGATAAGGCCCAAAACCCCCATCTATGACCTGGATAACAGGACTGATGCAACCTCAGCAAGATGGCAGGTGATCCAAAACCCTGAGCAGTGCTTGACAGGCAATCCAAAACCCTGAGCAGTGCTTGACATGGCAGATAAGTGATTCAGAGCGACCTCAGGCACGTGGAGAAATGGGCAGTGAGGGTCCCATAGGGTTCACAGTCTGAAAAGCTGCTCTGCAGAACATGACCTGTGGGTCATGGTGAAGAACAAGCTAAACATGAGCCAGCAATGAGCCCTTGTGCTCAGGAAGGCCAACAGCATCCTGGGCTGCATCAGGAAGAGCATCACCAGCAGGCCAGGAGACTGATCCTTGTCCTCTACTCAGGATGCCTGATGGGAGCATGTAAAGATGAAGCCAGGTTCTTCTCAGTGATGTCCAATGACAGGACAAGAGGTGACAGTCTGAAACCACTACAGAAAATTCCACTTGAATGGAGAAGAACTTTTCTGCTGTGTCAGTGGTCAAACACTGGAACAGGCTGCCCAGAGAAGTTCTGAAAGCACTACCCTTGGGGATACTCAAATCCTCAATAGACAATCTCCAGCAGTCTTGGCAAGGAGGCTCAGAACTGATGGATTTTGGGTGTCTCTCTTAAAGCCTCAGAAACACAGCTTCAAGCCTCAAAAAATGATGATCTAATCTATAAGGAAAATCACTATATGTAAGGAGAGTAGAATTATCAATGAAACAATACCTAATCAAAATCAAACAAACAGTTTCTCAGCTCTATGAGTTCTTCTCAGTCAGTTAAACTCCGCTGAGCTTTCTATTTTTTGTATCCAAAATTCTACATCTTCATTTGCTGCTGATCTTTTCATTCCTTCCTAGATTAAAACCAGCATACTATTTCAGTTCTTTCCAAGGACTACAGTATACAGACATATATTGGATAATCACAGAGGCTGGTGGTGCATTTTAATTATCTCTTACTCTACATCAAGTAGGGTTGTTGTTCCTATTTCCTATATTCTGATTCCCCTTTCAGTTTTTTACATGGATTCAGCTAACCCCTACATCTCTCTTCCTCCCCATTTACATGATTACTGGCATAAATTGTTATTTTGAACATGTAACCTCAGTCAACCCCAGTGACTCTCAGAATACACATCCATGTCTGTACACAAAGGCTTCAATAGTTGTAAGATAGAGTTATTTTTTTAAACTGGAAAATGGCTTATTATTCTAAAATTACCCAGATCTGCATTTCTAAAGCTTTATGGAATATGTCATTCTGAAGCCCTACAAACTGCAGGGAGGGGAACAAAGAAATGTAACAGGTAGTTACTGAAACAAATGCAAATGCACAGAGGTGGCTGCTGACTATTCTGTGGGCATTTGATTCTGACTAATTCCCTCACTGTTCTAAGACCTTACTTAAAAATAAGAACAGAGACAAAACTTACTGCTAAGATAAGAATATCCATTCATAAATGTATACAGGATGGATGTGTCACAAGGGAAGTTAAAAAATAGCCAAGGAGTTAGACCAAACAGCTAGAAGGAAGGAGTTGGACCAGGTAAAGTTATCAGGAACATATCCTTCGATGTGGTCACCAATCCACCTGCTGTTAGTGAGGCACAGTGCCAAACACCAGAGCAAAATAAAGGAATTAATTATTGTTTTACAGTGGCTACCAGTGCCAACAAATAGCAAAAGCCAATTGTGTTTCTTGTAAACAATAAAATTTACTGGGACTGTGATCTTGTAAGATTTAACAGCTCTAATAGATGTTGCTGCAGGAAACCAATTATTTCCTCATACTTGAGAAATACACAGATTTTCTTTTCCATTTGAAAAAAAGTTCAGAGCAGCAAAATTCTAGTTTCT